ACACACACACACACACACACACACACACACACACACACACGGGAAGCACAAGTGCCTGTCTCTGTCTCTGCAAATGGCAGAAGAGGCTGGGATCCACAGAAGAAGGCTCAAAGAGCCGCAGGTTGCCGACCTGTGTGCTAGACGTAAGGCCCAGACTTTCTAGTGGAAACACATGGGGACCAACCCCCCCAATTGTTTCTATCTGCTGTACCCAATCTGTCAAGAAGAGCATTCTAATACAATCCAGAAGGAGAGCCTTTCCTGCCCTTTGGCACAACATCCCGCCTGGGGTTAGACTGGCCCCATTCCTGATGGCCTTCCGCAAGGCCTTGAAACTTGGCTTTGGTTCCTGGATGTATCACAGAGCTTGTCTCCTGGGTGGTTGTCTGATCAGATTATGGCCTTCTGCTAGGTGTTTTATTTTTATTTGCTTTTTTAAATTGTGTATTTCATGTATTTTATTGTAAGCTACACAGAATCACATAAAAATGAGATGGGCAGCTATATAAATCAAATCGAATAGGAATAGAAATAATAGAGTAGAATGGAATAGGAATAGAAGCTGGAAGGGACCTTGGAGATCTTCTAGTCCAGCCCCCTGCTCAAGCAGGAGAACCTATACCTATATATGTGTTGATGCTTTCTTTTTTGGAAAACCAACTACTGTACAGATTTAAAGTTTAAAACCCTTTCTATTGCTATGCCAGAGTCCCATTCTAGACTGAACTTCCAAGTATTATCAGGGTGCTAAACAAAGAAGCAAAACACCAACATAATGTGGTTAACCTCAAAATTGATGGGGAGAGGGGAGAGAAAGACCTGCAATTATATTGTAAACTGAAGCCTTGTCCACTTGTTTGTTTCTGCCATGACAATTATGAATTTAGTGTTGAAATGTAGGAAAAGAAGTAAAAAGATCCTGTCCATGTGCCTGGAGGCTTTTGAGGCAGAATAGCTCTGGATATTTGGGGATATTTCATCTTTATCCTGGAATGGAGTCGCCCTTCCCCATTCAAGGCTTCTGGGCCGCTTGGGGTCTTTCTGAACTCAAAGCTCCTGCCCAATGAGCAAGTGGCCGCTGTGGCTGTGAAGGTCTTTGCCCAGCTTCTTCTGTTGTACCCTTTCCTAAATGGGGAGGTTCTTCAGATCATCACTCTCACTCCAGTCACCTCATGGCTTGATTACCACAATATGTTCTGTGTGGGGCTGGCCTTGAAACTTCAGCCAGCCAGCTGCACACATTGCAATAAGCCATTTGACACCTTTGCTTCACAAGCTGCACTGACTGCCAGTAAAGCTTCAGGGGCAACTCAAAGTGCTGATTACGGCCTGTAAAGTCAACATCAAAGGGGCGGGTCTTTTGGCTAAAATTACACGGCTTGTTAAAAAGTACGTTGGTTTAATTTCTCTTGACGTTGGGTGGTGAAATACCTTGAAGTCCGTTGCTGCATTTGTGCTGCGGCCACTTTCCTGTCAACTGGAGAGCACCTTTTTTCTTCCACTTTCTTCAAAAGATGAACAGCTGCCGCTTGAATCCAACCAGGACATATGAAACATAAGGCTTAGATTAGACCAGTAGTTCTCAACCTTTCTAATGCCGCGACTCCTTAATACAGTTCCTCATGTTGTGGTGACCCCCAACCATAAAATTATTTTCGTTGCTATTTCATAACTGTAATTTTGCTACTGTTATGAATCGCAATGTAAATATCTGATATGCAGGATGTATTTGCATTGAACATAATTAAAGCATAGTGATTAATCACAAAAACTATGTAATTATATATTGTTAAATATTTATTTTTAATTACAAAAAAATGAAATTTTGTCTTGAAGCATGGTGTAGCATGGGTAACAGTCTTAATATAACAACAGTAAACTACATTGCTACTATCCTGGGAAAGAAACCAGGCTCATGCAATTCAGATTTTTAGCCAGAGATCTGAGACCATGAGAAACCACAAGTCCATATTTAGGTGGCCACATAACCGAGTATTCATCATGATTTGGGAGCCCAAGATGCACCACCCAACCTCAGGGAGTGTAGGCAGAATCTATT